CCCCAAAACCCCAAAACCCCAAAACCCCGCAGAGCAATGAAAATAAATTTAAAGTGATAAATCAAATGAAATAAATCATATGTCCAAATTAATAACTTCATTCATGATAGTAAAGTTGGCAATATTTATTTATAATTGTAATTCTTAATTCATTTATTGATGTCAATTGTGAGTTACTACGGTTGTTTTGCCTGTGTTTATACTTTAAAATTGATCTTTTAAATTGCCTATCTTAATTTCTAACTCAATTCTCTCTCCTTCTTCAAAGCCTCTTTTTAGGTCACAGCTACTTTTTCTTTCTACGAAATCATGCTTCTAAGAATCTCTTCTTGATTTATAATTTGCTCTTAATTTTTTACCATTGTTATCTTTTGCTTGGCAATTAGGCTCTAAGTCGTTTAAATGTTAGCATTCCCCTCTCTTTCTTAGCTTCTCTTCACTATGAATCTTCTAGGTGTTTTCTTTTAATTCTTATCAGTGGTATTGTCCTTTCCATCATTGTTCTTATTTATTGCCTAGCGAATTTTATTCAGCAAAGTTGTCTTGCTCAGAGTCTTTGAGAAGCTCCCCTTTCTCTTGTGATTTCCAGTTGTCTTCACATCACCATTTGAGTTATTGATTGCATTTCTTATCTTTCCACTCATTCCTACTAAGTTATCTGGAATGATATCAGCCATGACTTTATCCTTAGAAAATTCAATTTTTTAAGTTTTTATAAACTTGTCTTTCGTTCTTACTCCCATTGCAATTTTATTAATTTCATCCTCCTCATATGTGGTGTCGTTATCATTTTAGAAAAATACTATGTTTTTACTTTGATCAAACTACCCAATTAGTTCGCTGTGATCATGGTTACTATTGAGATTGCTAGTATTTTGTAATTATTGCTCTTGCCATTCTTTTTCAAGCATCATAAGGCAAGAGTTGTCCTATTGTCCATCAGAGTAAATATCCCCATCCTAAGCAAGAATTTTAAGATCATCCTCACCTGCTACTTTATCTAAATCTTCAAAAACTGGTGTTCTTATTGATTTTTGAAGTAGAAAATCATCTCCATCTACAATTGTAATAAGACTTTCGAGTTCTTCTATTTCATTCTAAAGTTGCTAGCTCCTTCTTAAATCATTATTCCTATTTGTATTTTCTTCGCTTTACCTACTGCTTGAATGCAAACTGCTTCCATGTAATCTAATTTCTTAAAGTTTTTGATTATTTTCTTCTCTTTCTTTATGGAAGACTTCTAGTTTGTACTCTAAATTGGCTATGGCATCCTTTATTCTTTGCTGAGACTTATCTCTTACCTCTTCTCTTTGTATGCTGCTAACTTTGTCTTCAAGAGATAATAATCTCTCCTTAAGATTCTATATCAGTAAATCTTTATTTCTTAGCTCTCTTTTCATTTGATCAATTTCTTAAATATTTTGGAAATTCATTTAAACCTCTTGTTATTAGTTTTGATATTGTAGATATTTCATGCTGCTGTTGATATAGTTATTGCTGTTCTAATAGAAATTCAATATTTGCTAATTTTGGGGATAATGCTAGAACGTTTCGTACTCACAAAAATTAGAATTTTCTACCTATACTCCTCCAACTGCAAAATCTTGGATATTTTAAATTATGCCAAATTCTATATCTTGTTCAATAGTGGCTTATGATCCTTTAATGTTTAGTTCGAGCTTATTGTTTAATGCGGCTGACTATGGTTTTTTCTTTGGCTGTTGGTAAATGCTCGAAACATCGCCATCATATGCATTGGCTTAATCAGTAATACACATAAAATTGTTCTTAAGTAGAATTTATCTTTAGGGCTTTTTACTGTGAGCATTCTGCTCAGTTAGTCTTTTCTTATTTGAGACAGGCTAAATATTTATCTGTTCTTTTTTGACTGAGTTACTTCTACTACTTCTATTACTGGATCTCTTCTTAATTATTTATTAAGATGATTGTTTGTTAGAAGAAGCAGCCTTAACTCCTCCCTTTTATTATTGATTAAAGAGAAACTGCTTAGACTATTTCATTTAGGTACTCATTGGCTTAAAATCGTCAATATTTTGAGGATTCTAAGAATGCTTTACAATTTCATTTTTTTTAATCTCCAATGTCATACAAAGATTATTTGCAGAATCTCCAATTTAATTTGAACTTTTAGGAATTTTCGATATACTTTCTTGCCTATTATTGGCGATTTAAGAATTAGAAGTATTGTAAGCAAACTGAAAACTTTGATTTGCCTAAGAAAGATCTGATTAATTATTCTTAGGTGATTATGAGTTTTAATTCTTTACACTTCTTAAGGAATTCACTGATTTTTTAATCATGCTGCTTGCCCTCTATCCAGCTGAGTTAGTGTTAATTTATACTTATTTTGAAGGTTTTGATTAACATGGTTGTTACAATAATTGAGTTGGAGGATTTTACTATTAACTTTGAAAGTTTTAATAAATCATACTCAGATTTTGTACTGGTGAACACTAATTTTAATTAGGAAAAATCTCCTCAGGAAACATGGAGGCTTCATTATTAGTTGTACAATTGATGGTCGTCGACATTTCATCCCTTTCTTCCTCAGCAGATTTATTCTAAGGCATTTTGCCCTTTTCATTCGAAAAAATCCAAGATGTTTCAAGAGTACTACTTACATTGTAATCTCTTAATTTATGAGATGAGTTTCTGATGGAGACCTTATTTAAAGTTTGAATTCCCCCTTTTTGTTATTGCATTGGGCTTTTGTGTTGACTTGTATCTTATTGGAGCCTTTCTTATTATGAAGAATCTTACCGCTTCAACGGTACGTTATTTTATTGTGTTTAAGTGGTGGTCACAAAGCTATTTATGTTTTTGTTAGGATTTGTGGTTGTTTACTGCTTGAATTTAAGATACTTAGGTGTTGCAACTTAGGAATTAGATTATTTCTGAGTTTGCTGAAAATTCTTGAGTAACATAGGTTTGTCCTTTTACAATTTATTCTAACATGATTACGGTTCGTTCGCCATGATCATCTTCTATAGCTCTTTAATCGATTCAATTTTCTCTTTTCTTGTTTAAGATGATTACTAATTCTAATGTTACATTTATTGACATTAAATATTATCAGATATTTGCCTTTCTAGACTGGCGTTGCTCTCATTTAAATTATTCGAGGCTTTCACACTTTACCAAGTTTCTTAAATAACTTTTCCACATGAAGGTTGGAAACTTCTGTTATCTTGGTTAGGAAGTATTATTCGAGCATTAGAGTTTTGGGTATAATTCTCTAACATAGCTTGGTATTTAAGCCTATTTTAGGTAGTATCTCCACCTGCATTTAAATTTTCATTTGGTCTATTACGTGATTTCAATTTTATCAAACTATTATTTGCCTTATCAGAGACCACAGAACCCTCTCTATTTTGATTAATTTTGACATTGGGATTATTCTATGAAGCAACAATACCTCCTGCAAGATTAGTATTGTTAGTGCTGTTCTTTTTTTGAACTTTTAAATTTGCATTAGTGAGAAAGGAGCCATTATTAATTTACTATTATTGACAATAACTCATAGCAGAGTTTTGTATTGAGATTAGACTACTGCTTTGCACCTGCTATTTACAGCTGTCTTCATTTTGAACTTTCCCGCAACCTCCTGCAGAGATCAGGTTTTTGTTCAGCAGTGGTATATTTTTAGTAGACATTGGTGTAGTCTCTGTATTGAAGTCGAAGTAAACTTGCTCATCATTTAACTTTTTAGGTTGATTTGTTTTCATTATTAGCTTCGTCTATTGCATGGTTTATTTTATGTGTGAAATCAAATTTCTTATATCGAATTTAAATTAATATTTTCTCTTGGAAATTATTTATATTACTAATTTTTTTTCACCTATATTTTATAATTAGCTAACAATGGGGTTTTGGGGTTTTGGGGTTTTGGGGTTTTGGGG